AAAGTCTGTGCACAAGAAATACAATCTACAATGACACTACTGTTAAGAAGCGTCAGTCTCTAGCTAAGACTCTGTTAATAACATACAGTCCAAACCCGAAGTCTTTCAAACCCTATTTTTAAAGGGAATAATGAAAGACAACCTGAAGCGTATACACATATAATGCGACTATTTAATAAGTCAGGTGTATCTAACGCATATGAGCGCACTTATGACACTCATGCGAAAGCAGGACAGGAGTCTGGAAACACTACAGACTTAGAGACCACGCAAGTGGATTCTCACCACCCTACCTTTATTCTGGAGGAGCAGAATGATGAAAATATTATTTCTTGGCTGACGCAAAGCCATAAGCTGAAGCACCAAAACGTAGTAGACGCACTTAAAGATGATAAGCGAAATAGATCGCGACTCTAAGCTGGCAACTTTAGTTGACAGAGTATATCAGTCATGTACAGACTGTGATCTCAATCAGATCAAGCACTATGGGTTCGCACCGTTTAAGAGAGTGACTGTAGATGTTCCATGGCGCAGGGTCATCATTGATCTAGTTGACCTGCCCACGTCCGAGCACACGGGCGACCGTTACGTATGCCACTTTTTGATGTGGCGTCACAGTTTAACTTGCTCTATCCATTAAAGGATAAGAATACGCAGACCGTGGCAGAATTATGTTGCCAAGTCTTTGCTGACCACGGGTGGCCGGGTATTATGTGCACTGATAACGGTAGTGAGTTCTGCGATGACGTAATGGAATCGCTAGTACTCGTATCAGGCATATGCCATAAGAGAGGTGTGCCATATAAGCCGCAAACGCAAGGCGCGATTGAAACGCGCCATAGAAGACTTAAGTTCTTCTTGCGTACTGCATTAACGGATGATGCAGATGATTGGCCGTACCACCTTAAGTGGGTACAAACACAGATGAACGAGTATGCTGATCCGGTTACAGGAACAACACCCGCTCACTATTTTCGTGGCAGATATAGTGAGTTACAAATCCCCTTTAACAAGGACGAATCTGATCACCATGAGTTACCATGGTTAAAGAAGGTACAACGCATACACAACGATGTATATCCTTGCTTGCGAGAAATACGCAATATAACCTTATTAAAAACGCAAAAGTGTTGTAATACTACCAAGAAGATAGCAGAGTATCAGGTCGGTGGCAGAGTTAACATCCGTCAACGTATTTCCGATGCTACTGTATTAACATCTAAATGGATAGATCCATATATAATCTCTGTAGCAGACACTAAAAGTGGAACGTACGAGGTAAATAACCCCGATGGTTCTAGTGCGTTTAATATAGGCACAAGTCATATTCTGACTACAAAGATTATACTCGCAAGAAGACATGACTCTAATGCCCCTCTTGATCGTTCTGAATTTAAAGACATTATATGGAGAACGGATAAAGGAGGCTATACATACTATCGTACACGATTTATAGACGGTACAATCGCTGAGTTGACTTCAGATGCTTTCGATAATCAAGACTATTTAAAAGCCTTTAATCGGAAATGGCGTAAACGCCTGCATAGGTCACAAGCTGAAAAAGATAGCATGTTTCCATCGTCTGAAGGAACGGAAGTTAAAAACTTATCCGCCTACAGCATTTATCCCGAGCTTTAATGCTCATCCTTCATATGTGCTTAAGACACTGAAGTGTAAGAAACGTCCAGTCGACCACCACGGACCTACTGAACGTAAGCCCAAAACTCACAGGGTAACCGAGAACGCTTAACTTCTCCGCCTGAGAAACATTAACTATATGTTATGCTACTTAATGTTTTCAACCCGTTTTGCCTTTCTCGCTTTTTGACCCATAATCAGCTTGAGTGAGCCTTGAGTGAGCAACTTGCTGGGTGGGGGCTGTGTAATAAGCTGGGCCTCCACATTGGACTCGTTATAAACGTATTCTTAAGCAGTACATAAATTATAAACGTACTCTTAATAGTACGAGGAACTTACATTCTTAAACGTGCTCTTAACAGTACGAAGAACTTGGTCTGTCCAAGAGTAGGAACAGGTTGGCCGTCTTGAATGAATTGGAGAACGAGTGGAGCAGCCTTTGTGTCAGCGGAGGCAGCAACGAAAATATTAGAAAGCCATAGGTCATGATTGCGGCCATCGATGAGTTGAGTCCATTTGTGGGAAGATAAGGTAGTTGTATTATCCGCTTCCATATTGAGAGAGTTTAGTAGAAGTAAGTAAAACCCATAACCTACTAGACCAAGAAAATCCTCTGGGAAAGTCTACTGTTTATTATTTTATTTGAGACACAGATATATATACTATTTTGGAAAGATGCATACATTTCGGATGTCAGTTGTTAGGTAAAATGAGTTTTTGTAAAACTTATTTTTTTTAAACCAATAAATAAACTCTGTTAGTGGTTCTAAATCTAGTAGTTGGACTTTGAGTCCTAAAAATGAAGGTGGTTATGATATGTATATATTTATATGTATGTACATACGTAGCCTTTTTTAATTACACATTCAGAAGGCAATATGAGTACAGACTACAGAGTTACATAAGCTCATTACGATGTGTATGCTGAACAAAAATTGAGCTTTAACGCCTATTTTCATGTTCTATATACTTTAAAACGGCTATGGAGCTCAAGTATGCCCAACAAAATTTTAAAAACTGCACTTCGAATGTGCACCTAACATCCACGAAATGGGCAATATTGAGAGTGTCGACCAATCATAAGCTCGTTACAACTTTGATGACGCATATCCCAATTCCTAACCGACGGCCTGTTTTGTCATATTTGGCGCGCTCAACAGCCTCAACTGGGGACAAATCTGCAGACCTAGAAATTACACCCAATCTGAAATCTATAGGTATGTAATAAAAATTGAACTTTAACGCTTATATGCAAGTAATAAAAGTTTTAACGTTTAAAGCATTGAACTTGTTAGCAGAGAGATATTTTTTATCGCTTTTTCATAGCCTCTTATTTTTCTCATAAATTGAGCACTATTATTTGTTTTGTTTTAAAAGAACGCACAAAAAAAAAGGTTATGTAAACACATACAGATATTTACATCATACATAGCCTCCGTTTTATTTTAGGAGGCTACATATGACAGAGATATATTTATATATATTTAAATTGGTGCCTTTTTTTTAATGATAAGAGTAATTTAAATATTTTATATATATATATAAACAACAATTTTTTTGTAGTGCTTTTAATAATAAAAAATACATTACATATATTATATATATAAAAACACATAAAAAAACTATTGTTCTGTGCTCAGGATACGTTTGCTACAAAGTCAAGGAAAAGTTTGGAGTAAGCTCTATTAAATACTCGAACTGAAAAGTTCTTCTGCCAAAACATAATGTGTCACCCACGAGCACGGTCGAAATCCCCACCCTCGGTTGAAACACATACCGTGCACATAGATCCAGTGGTAAATGCCATGCAAGAGACCCAATTCTGGCGTAGACGAGCTACCGGTTTTCTGGACAAATTCGAATTCTACACCGCGAAGACCCCACCATTGTGCATAGCGAGGATGAGGAGTTGCCACCGTTGATGAGTGCCTCAAGCGATGATGAAGAACAAGGGGTTGGTTACCCCTATGGCCAAGCCACCCGCAGGTATACGGATGACGTAGTACGTGTGCGTAACCATGTGACTACAGTACATCAAATAGATTTGCGCCCACTGAATCTGATTGTGACAGGTAGTGCAATTGCCCCCGCAGTACCTGTCGTGTACGCCAACCATCCTGAGCATCTGCACTCTTATGTGGCCGAACAATGGGCACGAGTACGTGTCACATAGGATATTGCGTCTGAATTAGATGTTGGCACTTAGAAATTGGTTGGCACCTGCAGTACGCATTATAATACCTGAACAAGACCACATTTTGCAAGGACTACTGGAACTACAATCCTATACCGGCCACACCCAAACACGTAGACCACGCCCACCCCCATGTCTGCTATATTTATAAAATGGTTTTAATGTACCCAATCTAACAGTGTACATGATAGCTTATTTATGTGCGTGATCTGTCCGCGTCACTGTACCTACCCATACCCCATATTGATCGCATTGAACATAGGAGAAATACCAATACCGTGCTGCACACAAAAATTATCCACTTCGTCGGGGAGCTTATCATGATCTAAAACCCCTTGGCGATATTCTTTCATCAAAGCATCACCCGCCCGTTCCAACTTCTCCAATTCCTAAAACTTATCCCAGGCGTACTGTGAACGGTGAAACCATCCCTGCGCCGCTGGAAGCGTCTTGAAAAGACGTGCCAATCCATTCTTCTCTGCCGGTGTGGCAAATCGGAATGACGACTCTCGTAATAACCACGACGCATATGTTCCTGACAGTTGGACCCGTTCTGTGCTGGAGAGCTCCGCAGAGTGCGGATCAACGGGTTCATGGTATGCGTCAATATACGTGCGATGAAGCTTGTACTCTCGCTCATAATATGACAAATACATGCATGTTGACGTTGTCTACTCGCTCGACGCGCGCTGGACCAAACCATTTCCGACGGAGCTTGTGCGCACCGACATCTCGCCAGAAGCGCACGTGTGCCCCTACTGGAAACGACGGGAGGGTTAGTCGCAACCGGTCAGCAAAGCGTTGGGCCGCCTGTTGGGCACGTATGTTGAGACGTTTAACCACGCGATCACGGACAGCCGCTGATAGACCCTCAGAAGTCAGTAGCATGTTAGATAACTTCTCCTCCAGGGCCAAACGCCGGACCCCATCATATATACGGCCCGTATGTATAAAAAACGGTGACATGGTCTTTTACCCGAGAGCACGGTGGCATTATATGTGCTGATAGAGTCATGGATATCCGAGATCCAATCATGGAGACCCTCGGATTCCGCACATTTGGCAAGCCAGTCAGTCAGCGTCCAGATGACTCTCTCTACCCGCCCATCTCCCTGATGATGGCCGACAGTGCAAGGGCGAAATGTAAAGCCCTTCGAGAAACACCACGCACTGAATTCTTTGCCAAAGATGCAAGATTCGGTCTAATAAAGGCGATACTAATGCCTTAGAATAAATAAACGCGTAAGTAAATTCTATATATCGTGTAAATATCGATATAAATAAACGAAATGAGACATTTAATAAAGTTAGGTTTGCCTCGTGAAAACAGCAATACTCTGAGGGATTGTGAGGCTGAGACATTGCCTATATATAATCCTCTCAGTACTGTTTCCGCCGAAGGGATTTTATTTAGTGTTTCGTTGTCGCTCTATTCCGGGGCGAATCCGAGAGACTCGTAAAATCCTATCTTTAGAAAAAAGAAATAAAAATAAAAATACTCTTGACGTCTTTGGTTATTGTCTTAACCAATAGCTTGCCACTATCAAGAATTACCGACTTAGCCTTCATCAGACTGGCACATCTGGTTGGCTTATCAGAGGATCAACTAGGTAACGTTAATAGTCCCTAGAAACCTATATTCGGTTGAGCCATCTCGCTACCGAAGTATTCAGATATAAATAAAATTGGAAAGTAAATAAAGCTCTATTAATAGAACTAGACCAACTCTTTTATGTTTGGTATTTTACTGATGCCTTTTAATGGCCTCATCCAAATATCTGATATGTTAAATGGAAAAGGTTTAATTAATAAAACCATTAAAAACCATTTTAAG